TATTGGTACCTTTACCTTTAATTCTGTAATATATAGTTGTCCATCAAAATTCCTGTATTCATATGGTTCTATCTTGTAAGTCATTAATCCTTCATTTTTAGTTACAGCCATATCACATTCACCAGCTAATATATCTACAATATATTTGGTCCTTTTATATACCTTTTACCGTTGAAACATTTTCTTTCTATTTTCATATTTCTAATATTTCCATGAGGTTTAATTTCTTTTATACCACTAATTTCTCCTAAATATTATTTTTTATTAGGTAGTCTAAGATTTTTTGATTTCTTTATCAACCTTTCATTATGAAATATTATTTTATAATCTTCTTCTCCTCTTAACTCTGTTATTTCAGGCTTATTTTTAGTTATATTAAATTCATATTCTTCTGGGATAAAATTTATTTGTTTGTTTGGTTCCACTATTTTACTAATATCCTTTCATTCCTTATGAATTTTATGTATGGTTTATTAGAATAAATATTCTCATAATTAGAATTAGTAAATGTATATAATGCCCTATATTTCATAGTCATAAATTGGTCTCCTGGTTCCATTATATCATTTCTATGTAATTTGAAATGTAATCCTAAGATTTCATTAAAGTTTTTATCTTTTAGTGAGACACAATATTTTGGATAACAAGAAAATATTAACTTTTGATATGCTAAGTTTCCTTCTATAATTCCTAAATGATCATCTTCCAGATTTATAATTCTTCCATCATGTAAACTTACAATTAATGGTGAATTTATTCCTTCGGTAAATAAGGATTTAAACATTATTTGTATTCCTGCTAAATAAATATATTGGATCTTTTCACTATGTTTTTTACTTATTTTTGATAATAATTCTGATACTGTATTTTTTGTTAAAAGGTTTATTTTATGTGTTCTTTGAGTAGTCCTAATATCTATAGTTTTTTCAATCTTATGGTATTCATTTATTTCTATTCTTTCTCTTCTCCATATTCTATCTAGAATTTCCTATTTTCCTATTTTCAAATCTAAGGATAACTTTTGTATTTTCTTAAATTTATTATTGTCAAAAGTTACTTTTAATCCATAACCTTCTATTTCCTCATATTCTTGGATTTCTATGTTATTATTTTCTATTTCTTCAATTTCTCTATTCAGATTCTAATCCATTATCTTCTGAATCTGCTTCACTTATAAATATTTCCTGATTATTATAATGTTCAATATCAAATATTTTCACTTAATTCACTTTCTATTTCAAAATAATCATTTTGTAATATTCTCACTTTTTTTTTGTGCAATCAAAACTTATATGGCATATTTCTCCACAATTCCAACACTTACATTGTTTTTTATCTTTCTTATAAGGTTTATTTTTCTTTATATTATTTTTCTTTTATAATATTTCCTTCTAGGTTTTATGTATTTTTTCTTAAAATTTATGTATTTTTTAAACTTTCTGTTTTATATTTTCTTTTATTTTTTTTTCAGAATTACATCCCCATCTTATAGATTTTTCCATATCTTCACAACATATTCTAGTTAATTTTCCTGATTTTTTCAATAATTGTCTTTGTTGACATATATATGCAAGTCTTTCAAACAGAATTTTATTCTTGATTCTAATGTTCTAGGTATTCCTATATTTTATTTAATATATCTTTCAAATTCTACTTTAAAATATATTCCCCGTGAATCTGGTAATTTATTATAATACATATTTTGATATACTTTTTGATTCTCATTACTATAAAATTGAGTATAATAGTATTCCTTGAATTCACAAGTATATTTTTTAATTTTACACATATCACAAATTGTTAAATTAATTAACTTAGCTCTTGCATTATCTTTTTCTCGTATTGCTTCTTCTTCATAATTTCTTAACCAATTTTCTCCTAAGAATTCATTTGCAATATATTCTACTAATATTTCTATTCCTAGTTTATCTGACTTTATTATTTCTGTTTGTACATTTCTTTTTATTAATGATTTTGTATCACTACTAATTCATTGCCACCAATTTCTAACATTTCCTTCAAAAGATGCAATTAAAAAATATATTCTTCTTTTCGTATTTTTCCATGTATCATCTTTATTATATAAAAAAAATAATATCATTGAGTCTGCCCAAATTATTAAGGCTTTCTTAGTGTCTATTTTGCAAACTAAGTCTAATTTTGTTCCCCATGGTTAACAGGTTTATCATAATTATTATTTAATTCAAATCTATTACTATATTTATTTCCTTTAGACGATTTTTTATCTCTTATTTTATCATAAAATTGTCTATATGATTTATTATACGTCGGAGCATAACTTTTATCTGGATCTATTGATTCTTGTTTAGAGGTTCCTACGGGATTAGGTCCTCCTCTAGTATTCATTAAGATTTGGTATTCATCATCTATACTTTCTAAGTTTAAATGATCAAAATTATCTATAAGTAGATCTAATTCTTCATTCATTTTCTTTGTCTTGATTTTCTTTAATTTTTTGTTTACTTAACATTTTTTCTTTAGATTCTTCTTCTTCTAATATTTTAAGTAATATATTTTTTCTAAACTCATCATTTATGCTTCTTGTTTCTATTATATTTTATCTTTCAATATGTTTTTTCCCTATTATGGTTATTTCTTTTTCTATAAATTTTTTATCTATTCTATTATTCTTTTCTTCATTTTCTTTTAATTTTCTGACTTCAAGTTTCAATATATTTATATCATTTCTTACTTCTTTTATTTCATTCTTTATTTTTTGTACATCATTTATTAATATTCTTATTAAATGTTTTAATTCTTCTATATGTTCACTGACTAACATTTTCTTTTATCGATTTTTTGATTGATAATAATAAATGCTATATACTCAGCATTTTTACAATCTCTTATCATTTTATCATACTTTTGTTTTATAACTTCAATATTTGTTAGTTCTTTTAATTTTTCATTATACCTTGCTTTTTCTTTATATCTTTCTTGTTTTAATTTTAATATTTGTTTTTCTTGAGTTTTAGTTATATCTCCAGGTATTAATAATTCATCTAAAATTTTATTATTTATTAATCTTATTTTTCTTAACTTTCTTTCTAAAATATTTTTAGTTTCTTCTATTATATTTTTATGATGATTCAAATATTTCTCTATGGTATAATTCATTTTCAAATATTTCGATAATTATTTCATATGTACGTCTATTTTTTATAAATCCTACAATTAATTTATATAATATTTGTTCCTTTATTTCGCTAGGTAAATTCCTAATTACATATAATGTTATTATTAGGGATAGGGTTGAAAAATATATAACATCCTTTTTCTTCAATACATTGATAATAATTATATATTTTTATGATTTTCATAATAAAATTTTTTTTTCAGACTACTATGAAATCTATTTCACTCTGGATTTTTTCTAATATATATATATATATATGCTTATATTTTTCAAATAATATCTTTTTAATTATTTTTTCTTTTAGTTCTAAAGGTTACTCTAAAAATTTCTAATACTTCTTTTATGTCTTTACTATATGTTCCAACTATATTATCTTCTTTTATATAGCCTTCTATATTAGAACTATATTTTATCTGATATCTTAGTCTATTTTTATAAGTTTCAATAATTTCTAAAATCATAAACTTTTGCGTTTTTCTTTATCTTTTCAATGATTAATTTTATTTATTTTCAATATCTTTTAGGTAATTTATTTTTATATTTTCTCATGATCTCTATGGCTCTGATACCAACTGGATGGGTTCTACTATGAGCGAGCAAAAATCTAATAATCTAATAATCACAAATCTAAAAATCTATTATTATAATATTCTAAAAATTCTTTTATTTTTGTTTTAGTTAATTAATTTGTTATTAAGCGTATATAAAATCTTAAGGTAAGGTTAAAAACTAATTTTTTATATGCTTGTAGTAATCTATTTTTTATTGGTCTTCTCTTAAATTTTTAAGTAATTTTTCAAAGTCTAGCAATGTCTGAGAATTTATAATATCAATATCTGTTATCATATCTATATCTATTCTAAAAGGTATATCGTATTTTGAGATATTTTTCTTCATTTTTTCTAATTTATCTATGAAATCTTGTATATCTTTTATGATTATTGATCTTACAATTCCTTTAGCAAAATTTTCTATTAAATCTTCTTTGAAACACTTTAATATTTCTTGTGATGCATATAATTGTTCTTGATATTCTATCTTATCAATTTCTTTTTTATTTTTAACAACTTTTTTTATATTATATGGTCCTCTCTTATATTTGGATTTTTTTCATTTTATAATTATTCATAAAGATTAATAATTCTTTCAAATTTTTAGAAAAATTACTTGTTAATTTTTTAAGGACTTAAATAGAAGATTTTTTATTATGAAATATGTTGTTTTTAATATTTGTTTAAGGATATTTTAAGAAGTTCCAAAAGTTTGGAAAAGTCAAGGACCATTTTAGAAAATGGCCTCTTATTTGGGTCAATTTCACATATTTCCCGTGAAGGCAAGGGTTGGCCGAGGGTACATGGATTTTTTTATTTTGTTTTTCATTTTTTCATTTAATTATTTTATATTGAATAATATAATATTACCATTTTATCCTTTAAAATTGAAAAGAAAATAAAACTACAAAAGTTTGACGTCGTAATTAGTACCTATAAAAAATTTGAATATAGTTTGTGAAAAAATAAAAAATTTGGAACCACGACAGTAATTATTTCATTTTAATTTTAACAATTTTTAATGATTAAACTAAAAAAATTGAATTGAAGAGGATTTTTCGCACCTCAAAGTTGTATTCCACACTTATGATTTCAAATGAATGAATTTTCTACGATTTTCCAAAAAAAAAAAAAAAAAAAACAAAAATCGTCAAATATGTACGGAATTGTATGCTATTAAGCCTTTATTTATTTATTTATATATATATATATATATTTCAAACTTTATAAAAAAAAAAAAGGGGAAAAGAAAAATGGAAATCTAAACAACTTAACAGCTATGATGAATCTTTCTACATGTCTTGATCAGACAAACCGTCATTGCCATCTGAACCAGAAACGCTCCTATTATCTGAACTCGAATTGTCATGTCCGGATTCCTGGTTCCTTCTATTGGAGCCCCGTCTGCCCGTTAAGAACATAAGGATCCTCAATTCACCTACCCTTCTCGTTTCATCGTCACTGTTAGTTTCTTCCTTTTTCTCCTCCTCCGGCATCTTGTACCGACAAAACGGGCACGACCCTTGGATCCCCAACCACTTGTTGATACAGTCCGAATGGAATTTATGGCTGCAAGGCATTTGTTTGATTTCCGCGTTGACTTCAAATTCCGATAAACAAATCGGGCACTCCAAACCCGGTTCTGTAATTCGGACCACGGGTAGGGATTCTATCGAAGCTTTTGAAGCGGGTGTAAACCCTCCCTTTTCTGGGATTTCTCCGAGAATCGATTCGACATCGCCGGAGCCTTCCACGATGGTTACTGATTCAGTACTTTCGTTCACGAACACCATGATTTCGCGGCTGGAGTTTGTGGCGGTGGCGGTGGCGGTGGCGGTGAGTATCCAGGGGAGGAGAAAAGATGTGTTGCCTCTTGCGGTCAACTCCTCGGACGACGGCGGAGCTGGAGATGATTCCGATGAATCCATTTTCTTTATGTAGTTTCTTTGAGAGTTTTTGAACGAGAAGAAAACGAATTAAATGGGATCTATCATAGTGTGGTTATATATACTTATAGAGTCGGTGGGAGGAACCTTCAAGAAATCGTGTGCTGAATTCTTTCTATGGGTTTGGAACTTTGGATTGTGTTGGGTTTACGATATTTGGATTCGAACGCGCATTCCGTCGATATACTTACCATGTAAATACGCGTACGCGCTTTACAATTTATCAATGAAGTTGTAAGCCTGTCCTCCACTTTTCAAGGCTAACAAGTTATTCGTTAATTATTTATTGTAATCACCATTTTGAGTCCTCGAAGGTGAGCATCCAACTGTATTTTATGGGATTAGTCGAGGTGTATATAAGTTGACTCGAATACCCACGATCATAAAAAAAAAATAATAAATTTATTTATTGTAATTCAAACTATAATTTTTATTTTATTATTATTATTATTTTTGGTTAAGTCATTAAGTAGTTGTTGCATGTTTAGTTTTACGGAGTTAAGATTAATTTTTAAACTTACATTTACGTGTGGATGTCGAGTGAATCAATTTGGGTATTTCAATTTGGGTCCATGTAATTACTAGAGTCGAGCCCTAACCTGATTCGTCAATTCCGACTTGAATTCAATTCTACAAATGATAATAAAAATAAAAAATAAAAGAAAAAATCATGCACTAACAATATAAATTATTTTTCCAATATATAGTAGAAATAGAAAAAATAAAGCATACCATCAAATTGCATCCAATATCTAGTATTGACCTCAAAAAATAGAGATTGTGTATAGAAGCCTACTGACGAGTTTTCTGTCGAAATTTAGACAGGATTTTCCCAATTTCGAATTTTTTTTTGTGTGTTTTGGAGTCAATTATTTGTAAAAAGGTAGAAAGATTTGGATTCTAATGTTAATTTGGCCTAAAAGTGCTATTGATCGAAAAATATTTTTATTTTTCTATAGTGCAAACTCTTAATTTGCTTTGATCCAAGGCAACCTTTTTAGATAGTAGAATTTTGGATGTTAAAATTTCAATCGTTCTTTAGCTAGACAAATGACCTTATTTATAGACAATTTTTAGGGAATTCTTTGTCATTTTTTGAGTTGATATTCTCTCTTTATTGTGTTGAAAGTTATGATAAAAGTCCAATCTCCAAGATTTTATTGAGGTTTGTGCTTCTCTCCTTTGTCTAGCAATTCATTGTGTGCATGCACAAGTTTATTACATTGAAATCTATATCGTTTGTGTTAGAATTTGCAGTAATGCTACCGCTCATAGTCGAGGCGTAATTCAAGTTCTTAGAACCTTTTGGTGGCCAAGACTTTTAATTGTATTCTTATCCAAATTTTGAGTTCCATGCGTTTCATTGCTAAAGTGAGCCTAGACGATCGAGATGTAAATATTTAGAGACATGTGAACATGTAATGAGATCTTTTTGTGGCTAGCGTGGAGTCTTGATAGCGAATAATTATTTCAGTACGTAATATCTAATATAATAGCATCCAATATCTAGCATAGAATAAACACCAAATTATATATCTACATAAAAAATCAAAAACTAGAAATCAACAATAAGAAAGTGCTAGATTCTACAAATGTTGAACACAAAATACAGGTGCTCAAAAGCTTAAATTCTTCCCTAACCAATTTTGTGTATAAATTAAGGTATAAACTATTTTAGAAGTTAAACAACTTCTAAATGAATTAAGAATATGTCCACATGTCTTAGTCGAACCTGTCACATTAGATTTGTCTAGTGCGGTTTACTTGGTTGGCATGATTTGTAAACTATTGTATTACCCCATGAGTTTACCCAATACGTATCCAAAAGGTAACGGTTGCGGGGTTCTTCCGTCATAAAAATAAGGGGAAAAAAGAAGAAGAATATGTCCACGTGTTAAATGCTGACATCGAGTATTGAATGAATTATTAAAAAAAATTAAGAAAATTATAAAAAATGAATAATTCGGTTACATAATTGATTACCTTCCAATTCAAGAATCGAGAATCATCCATGATCAATCAGTTCTCGATTCATACTAGTACTTGCAAATATGAAAATGAGATATTTTTGCGTGTTAAACATGTGATGATTTTACTATTCGCAATTATTGACTCCAATTGTAATAAAGGGTAGGACCAAAATTTTGAAAATTGAATTGGACCACTGGTTCAACACTGAAAAACTAGAACACGTCTAGTTATGAATAAGAAATTAAAAATTAAAAATCAATTAAAATAAGTCAAAACATCGATAAGACTATTTTTGCTCATTTTTAATAGATGAAGATTGAGTTGGGAACTAATAGTGTAATTTTCTGTCAAATGTATATCGGATTCGTTCACTTTAATTGAGGATAACTAGTCGTTATTGAAAAATATGATGTGATCAGTAAGCTTAGTACTAATGCTATGAGCATCAGTCTAGATGGAATGAACTCACATCCTTTCAATTTTGGTTTTCATTTTAACTAATTTGAAGATGTTTACTCCAATACCATCTAAATTAATACTAAATACTAGTGATGCTACGTGACATTACTCATAGGACAAATGAGTTTCTCGACCTCGTGAAGGAGTGCATGCTGATAGTAATGGCAAAAATAACCCACTTTGAATGGGTTGGTGGGACGGGACGGGACGGGGCAAGGCGAGGCGAGGATGCCCCGTCCCGAAGCCACCCCGTGAAGAAAAAAATAAAAAATAATTTTTTTTATAAACAATTTACCCGTTAAAAACTCATTTTAAGTTTATATTTTATTCTCTAATATTAACATAACTCGAAACTTTAAAAATGTAAAAAAAAAAATAAAAAAAAAAATTAAACGAGACAAAAAGTTATCCCGCCTCAGCCCATCTAAAGTAGGGTGAGGCGTGGGGTGGGCAGGGTTTGGACGAGATGGGTGGGGGGCGCCCCGCCCTATATACTGACTTGGATTGCTAATTAAAGAAGAAAAACAACTAAAACACACACACACACACACACAAATTGAAAATTGGACCTACTTCCACTTAACTTGGTGCTACGCATCAATGATGCTAGATGACAATAATTGTGAGCCAAGTGAGTTTCTTAAGCTCGTGAATTAGTCAATGCTACACTTGGATAGCCAACCAAGTGAGAAAAACAATTAGGAAAAAACCCTACAAAAATTAGATTGCAATTTCTTTCTATTTGTTAAATAATAATAATAATAATAATAATAATAATAATAATAATGCATGTTGCTAGTGCGTGTTTGAGCCTCATTTTCTGAGAAAATTTTTGATCTCGAGAATTGAACCTTTCGCGTAGCCAATCGAGAGCTACTCCACCTGTTTTTCCCTGCGCATAAGAAAATGTTGCACCTCAAGGAGGTCCACCCGAACCTGGACATTTCAACTTTGCAGAGTAGGATTTTTTATAATGGATTCGGCCCTCCCAAGTAAATGTTTTCTTAATGAAAATGAAACTTTTTTTGCAAATCATTTTCACTTATTCCGTTCGTGCTTGAATTATCTCAATTGTATTGTGATTGTGTAAATACTTTAGGTCAATAAACATTACTTACTAATCACCAATAAGTAGAGGCACATGAGGATATCAACGAGTAGAACACAATGATAAGATGAACTACCATTAATGATACAAACTTATCATTATCATAAGCTAATGCAGTGTAAGCAGTTAGCCAGTTAGAAATAAGTTGCATTAATATTTCCAACTCTTAGGACAACTTCAGTTCGGAATAAGACATACATTTATTGGTAGTGCTTCCTCGAGTGTTCGATGTTCCACTGATGAGGCATCATTTTCCATGCCATGTTTTGATTTGATAAGTTTCAGGTTGGGATTCATTGATGATGCAATAAGGCCCTTCCCAATTCGATCCTAGCACTCCGGAACCTGTTGGTTTTGATGCTGGGAAAATCCTCCTGAGTACCAGGTCTCCTAAATGTAAAGTTCGATTCTTGACCTTCACGTTGTAGTAACGGGTCATCTTTTTTTGATATGTGGCCAGCTTGACTCGGGCGAAATCCCTATTTTCTTCCAGGAGATAGAATTCACTCACTCCCGCTTCGTCGTTGCTGATCTTGTTGAAGTGTACGCGATGTTACGAGGGGACTCCAACCTTAAATGGGCTCATGACTTCAGTTCCGTAAGTCATGGTGAAGGGGGTCTCTCCTGTTGCAGTTTGGCTCGTGGTGTATATGGCCTAGAGGGTATGGGGAAGCTCACCGACCCATGCTCATTTCAAGGCCTCAAGTTTCATTTTCAGGGTGTGCTTGATCATTTTGTTTACTGCCTCAACCTGCCCATTCGCTTGGGGTGATGAGGTGTTTAAAAGTCCTTCCTTATACCCAGTTCGCACAGATTTCCCATCTTCTTGTTGTCAAACTGTCTCCTACTATAGAATACAAGGGAGTGTGGAATGCCGAACCTACAAATAATGTGTTTCGGATAAACTTCGTAGTGTTCGCCTCTATAACTTTAGCCAGAAGCTCAGTTTCGACCCACTTAGTAAAATAGTCAATAGCGACAATGTCAAAAGTTGCGCTTCCTCTCCCTTTGGGAAGGGGACCAATGAAATCTATTCCCTACTTGGCAAACAGCTAGGGGCTCGTAATCACAGAGAGGCCCTGGGAAGGCTGTCTTTGAATATTGGAGAATCATTGGCATTTATCATATTTTTGAACAAACTGCCACGAATCTTTTTTCAAGATCGGCCAGAAATAGCCTTGCCGAAGCACTTTACGAGCCAGAGCCATTCATCTGAAGTGGTTTCCACACACTCCCTTGAGGATCTTCCTTAGTATGTACGTAGCTTCTTCTCCTCCATCACATCGGAGTAGATGCGACGCGAAGCCTCTTTTGTGCAGCGCATCATTCTAGAGGATGAAATGAGCAACCATTCTCCTCAACCTTTTGGTCTTGTTTTTCGAGCCTGGCACTGTTGGTCTTTGAGGTAGGCTATGATAGGTTGTATTTAGGATGGGATACCTTC